TGTTCACATCTTCAGTTGTATATGCAAAATATAGACGAACTTAACGTGATTAATGACTTCAGTATTTGATATGTGACTTCAAGGGTTATATTAGCGAAGAATATTTTCTTATTAACTCCTATGACCCAATGGTTATATTAGCGTCTATGTCCTGTATCTATCTCATATATGTTAGGAATGAACTTTTTATGTTTTTCATTTCACCCTTTCTGAACAAAGCTTTTGAATGTTCTCCAATCTGTAGACAAACCTGTCCATAATAAATACAACTTGAACCACAGGAACAATTAAAACGGTATATATTCATGAAGAGATGTTTAGTTTCTACATGAACATTGAACAACTATCGAGGGATAGAAATTGGTGTCCACTTTATTGCTCTGTGATTAAAAATTGGAATAGAATCCGTGTTTTACATTATCCCATCCTATAACCTGGAAATAATTTGTGCGTTTAAAAAAAATCTGTAATCGTATTCAACATTAAAATGTATCCTTCACATCCCTTGTGATTAATATAACGATGACAAGTATTTTATTTCATAACTAGTTACTAGACTAACATATAGAGCATCACAATAACAGTTTTAGGGTTGATCGAACATTTTTCTATATTTCTGAACTAAAATGCCCTAAGCTTCATTCATATAAGCTTTAACAATGACAACTAATTATATATTTTCATTTATTTAAGGTTAGAGTCTTATCTGGGTTATCTTTCTAACCCATAATATCGGTGGCCTTGTTTTAATTGCCGTGTACGCATTATCAGCCATTGTTTCAATGTTTGTATGTTAATCTCTAATCTGCAGCTGTGCTCTATTCACAGCAAACAGTTTACTCAGTTGGAACTGCTGATTAATGGGCGATTCAACTAGGTAGAGCTTAGTTATTTTTTCTTGTTATCTGTCCTTCTCTTTTTTATACATCTGGATTAAAAGAAGCATGTTCAGACAGTAGTTAGTGGTAATAATTGGGGCAGTTGGAACTGCTATCTAGTTATCACTCCTATGTAGCCTGAGCTACTGCTTTTCTTACAAAAGATACCAATATAGTGTCTATAAAATAAAATGCTTGGAATGTGATGCGATCCACATCGGACAATATCTCGAGAAATCAAAATCAAAAGAAATGAACACCGTAGAGCATCTCTTCGATCACCGAGAAATCCAGTTGAACTAGAGAAGCTTGAAAAATCATCAGCCATAGGTCTACATGCTATAGAATCAGGCAACAAAATTGATTTTGACAATATTGAAATAACATGGGTTTATACCTCACATTAGTCTCTGATATTTTAGAAATAAAGTCAAAGACATCACTAGTTCGATGTTGCACGATTTCTCTGTGTAAAGGACCCAGAATCTTAACTAACCACTTCGCTGTTCCGTGAAATGGAGGGTTATACATATCTAAAACAGGGCAAAGAGGAATACCCGGTTTGTGCACTTTTGGTAGACCGTAAAGACGTGGAGTATTGGTACCCGTAGGTTTCATGGACTCATACGTGGTTGAAGATAATACTCCTATTTGGTTCAGTTTTTTGAGGTAGTCGGTCATTAGTTTCTCAGCTCTTACATTGAGGTATTCGGAAACACCAAGAGATTGGAATTTAGTTTGATCACTCAAAATACCTTCCATTTTCTCCACATAATCGCTTTTGTCCAGAGTATTACGCTGGATGATCTGGGATATAAGTTCTTTCAAGACTTCAGATACGCCCTGCTGATTGATGAGGCCCAATAAGCACGAAACCTAAGTGGAAGTGATCCTGCCGATTGCCTCCAACCAGCTAACAATAATTCAGAGTGATGGTGCACCACTTATCATGGTGACCACATTGCAAACTTGACTGAAAAAGTCAGTCTGCACCAAACGCGAAAGACTAGATGCATGACATTAGTTACTAACCTTGGTGTCCAATCTAAGTATCATATAGATGTTTTTGGTATTGCCATCTTTTCTCAGCTACACAGTTCAATTACTAAGCTTTTATTATCCTTCTAAATATCGTCTTTAGTGTTTCTCATATTTAGGCCATCCAGCAGCTCAGAGAACGCAACTTTTAAAGAAAGACTTATGTTTACCTTCCAAAGGTATTCAGTCTGTAACTGTGAGATGTTTACTACAGAAGATAGTTACAGATTTCCTGGTAATGTACGCATGCAGTGGAAACATAGAATTAAGTGTTGTGAAACTTTGGGAATAGAGTGAGTGAGTCAGTCAAACTGATTGTAAATATTCATCAACTGAGTTAAATGGAGCATGTGTTTCATACACTCTATTCCTTGTGATTAGTTTGAACAAAACAAGAACGAAAATATATTTAATTTCAATTGTTAGAATACATCAGCAACCAACAATCAGTCAGAGAGGTTGTTGAAGACCAGGGAGAACTGGATAGCTGTTTCGTTCTATTTTGTTACTCTTCAGTAGTGCGTACTCACGACTTCATCAAACATCTAACCCCGGAATCTTCAGTTTACAATACCAACCGTGTTGACCATTCAGCCACTTGGGTCGGAATTCACTAACCCGTGAATTCTAACTTTGTCAACTCTTCATCGGCAGATGTGGCGACTTGAACTTCCGCACATTTGTGCAAAGTTCTATGTCAAAAACAGACAGACAGATCTAAGTATCAGTCTCCAGCTCATCGATGGCTACTGGATGGATGTCCTGAAGCTTTAGTGAGAAGTCCTGACCAGTAAGGTCCATCATGTCAAGGTGAACTGGATACTTAAAGAAGGCATTGGCTGGTGATATCGCTATTTCACAAGTTGACAAAATTAAAATTTACAGGTAGTTGAATTCTAGCTCAAGTGGCAGAAGTATTAACGAATTAAGCCTCATAACCTAAAGGTCTTGGGTTCGATCCCTGATTGGATGGTGGGGGAGTCACGAAATAGAACGAAACAACTGTCCAGTCCTCCCTGATTTTCAATGATTCGCCTAAATAATGTTGGTTCGTGACGGGATGTAATAACTAAAATGAAATTAATCCAAAACCTCACAAATCCTATAATCTGAAAATATATTTACGGGATAAAAGGGGCTCATTTTTGTTTATTTCACAGTTTTCCTTTTAGCCTAAGAATAACACTAATTACATATACACAATTTCAATACAAAGGGTGTTTAATAATTTTTAGCCTAGAAATGATACAATAAATATGAATGCAAGGGTTTATTTATACATAATATGATGAAGAATTTTTGAGGGGCGAGGATGGTGCTAAAAAGATATGGTAAATGAAAATAAAATTATTAAGCAAACAAACGATTAAGTAGATTTGAAGATTAATAATGCGTTTTACTCAACTCCTTAGGTATGTGTACAAATAAGCTCTGGTTGTTATGGTTAACTATCTTCGATCTTGTTCCATTATACTGTGTTAAGAATCATTAAAAACTCTTTCAGTTTAAATTATACTTGAAGTAGGTTTGCATATTTACATTTATTCTGCCTTATGTTGTTATTATTAGGCTGTTAGCAGATGAAGAGAATTGGTGAGATAAGAAATGAGTACATGTGCATTGTGGTTAAATGTATTAATTTTAGTATAAGTTATTGATTTCTTCAAGGGAATAATATGACCACAAGCAGTAAATTATGCTCGAATAAACATTGAGCAAGTATTACTTTGTGTCATTGGTTTCATTGTAAAATATCATTCCTATTTCCTTACATTTATATGAAAGTAGCACAGTGGAGTATGTAGGCTTTACTTTTTAGACATTCATTCACTTCCACCGACGAATATATTCATCAATATGGTTTCTTTAAAATGGTACAATGTTTTGTGAAGGTGGTTCGCGAGTAGAATTCCCTCCAGCCACAAATATCTTTTTTTATTCCTTCACGTCCCCAGTGGAACATAGGGCTTCAAGCCAGAGGCTTGCAGTTTCTGTAGCAATGTTTATTTTTACAGGATGAGGCTGCTAGCCAGCCTGATGCTCAACCTTTCCTCCTTAACAGCTTTTTACTGGTTTGGTGAGGTAAAGGAGTACGTCGACCGGAGATCGAACCCCGAACCATGTGCATGGTCGGCGAGCGTCCTAATTGCTGTGCCAACGATGCACACACATATTGTGGGAGGTTGCATTCCCTATTGACTTACTCCTAAACCCTGCTTAGATGATAACAAATCCGGTAAAGAGGGAAGGCTGAGCTGAGCGTGAGGCTAACAACCCCATCCCTTAGAAAAACAACAACACCACCACTGAAACTTCAAAGCTTAAAGCTGTATCTTTCACTCAGATTGCAAAGAAATGAAGAACCATGGTTTCTTTAAGACGGCACAATAATTTGTGAAGGCTGATGATGGATGATATAAGATGTGTCGCTAAGTCATTCGAAATACATAGGATTATGAGAGAAATAATATTTAGACACAATTATTCCAGCATATCTGAATAACCTAAGAACATGTTTGAAACAGTCAGCCCTTTATGGTCGATGGGTAGGCTGAATGGCATTTGTAATAACCACAAACCAACAGTATTGATTGTTCGATGACAAACTCATTCCTTTATCTCAGTGATTACTTCTCATTTTCACTTGGTAAAGAACAAATAATTCAAATTGAAATAGTTCAGTACTCTGGGTTCTGGTTGTTAACGTTTTTTCTATTTATATGACTTTACGACCTTTGAGCTCACCCATGTACTCGCTGATGATATTGGCTATTGGTCGCACTATATCGTAAATTGGCAGAAGGTGGAATTCATAGGTCATTGGATCGTATCCCAGCGACTTAATGGTTTACGAGCTCGCCTTGTAAGTGGAAAGCCCAGGGTTCGAACCGATGAAGAGTCCCACACTAGGTCGAAACAGCTGTTCAGTACTCAATGCAAGTTTTCCGATGGTTTTATAACTGTTGTCAGCCCATGATGAAATTTTGAAACTTATCAAATTCCTGCAAACCACTACTTGATATCACTCATGTATTGTTGGATTTTAAATATATTTCGTATTTATTTATCTTCAAATATAATCAGGTGGATAGCTTAGGTCATTCACCACCCGGAGAATATGGTCGTTTCATGCCTGCTAGTCTTGGTGAATTACAACACCGGGCAAGGACAAGAGAAACTGGATATCATTCAATTACTCCAGGTGTTGGTACACTTGCTCAACCACCCTTACTACCACCACATTTATTACAGGTAATTTATTCACACTAAAATATCTTCCAGTTGTTTCCTCTGTTTATTTTCCAAAAAAATTATTTTCTCATCATTGAATTGACTTCATTGCATAAATTGTTTCATTTTTATGTGGAAGAGAATTAAAACTAAGTGATGAAGGTATTTCCGAAATGGGAAGCAGTGGTTTGGGCAACTGAGAAAAACATGAGAGGGGAGATCACGTGTATGTGTCAAAGAAATGTGGGCTATCGCTAAGCCAGTTAAAAAAAAGACTGCAGGGAACGAAGTGAAATGGGGATGTGTCGTTGAGACCGCACTCTCCACTCAGAACCCAATATTATTATTCCTTTACATTCTGATTGGAACATACCGCTTGAAGCTGCAGCGTAGAAGTTTCATTAGCAATGGTTTTATTTTTATGGGACAATGCTGATAGCCTAAAGTGTAACTGATATGTAATCACATGATGTGTGTGTTTGTTTTTGACAGTCTGTTATATTTTGCTGTGTATATGGATCGATATTCCATTATAACTGACAATATGCTTTTGTCTGTCCACTAACTAAATAAATATGTATGACCTTGTTATCATATGACATTACAACCAATCATGGTAAGATGACTGTCTATTGGATCATGTGTATTAGCCATTTTTATATATACTTTGCATTGTACACTTTATATATAGTTCTTGTTCTCACGTTCGTACATTCGTACCAATTCCACTCACATTCTTGTGTGACATTTATTTTCCTTGTCTGGAAAATACAACTATCATCGTAAACCTGGTGGTCTTCTGATTTCCCTCTTTCCGCGTTAGGACTATTAACTACTCGACGAGGAAATAACATAATTGGCGACGAGGAAAACTACTATTAACTACTCAGCAGCAGTACATAACAGTAACCTTCCCTCTTTGCAGGCTTAGAAGGGTTTAGGAGTGTGTTGGGTGAGGATCGAACTCCGGACCACGTGCATGCTTGGCGAGTGTTCAACCGCTGAACCAGTTATGCTATTCAGAACCCAAAGGCATTATAACAATATATAGAGAAATGAAGTCTGTACTGTTTGATGTGATTGACAAATTGACAGAGTCGAAGAAAATAATTGTTGTGACTGTTGGGTTCGTCAAGCTCATGATACAAAATTGTTGTCTTTGCATAGAGTATGCGAAATCCATCTGATTGCACCACTCTACTCCGAGTAAGGTATGTTTGTTTCGAAAAAAGAAGTTAGTAATTCTAGGCATTTGATTGTTTTTGTTCGATAACCAACCTGTATGAAGTGATTTATGCTATATTGGGTAAAACCTGGAAGTGTAGGTTTTTCATATACATATTTAGAATACACCATTTTATCCCAATGTATGTCTGTTTTCGCACCCACAAGTAAATATATAGTGTCATAGAAGACCTGTCACCACCGAGAGTTCGGCCTTTCTCTCGAAATTCTCTTATGTGTCCACATGTCCAAAGCCTCCGCTGGGTAAGTTAGACTTACAGCTTTCACGTGGTGGGATTGCTCCTCACATAAGTGAAAGCGAGAATGCAAACATCTAGCTCTAAAATCTGAAGTGGTGGATACACAGGTCAATATAGGAAAGCTGGAAAACCCCGGTTCCAAACGAATTGTGTACATGAGTTATATAATCCGAAAGGATCGAATGGTGTATGAACTTGTTTTGGGCTCTGGCAGCCATGGGAATGTAGCTCCTGACGCTGCTTCACTACCTTGTGGGTGAGACTTCATGTCAGAGGCTCTTGGTTTGCTCTCTCAAGATAACCATATGTTTCAACCTGTGCATCTGAGCAGTATCCCAGTCCTCAGGCAAACTATGAGGTTTTTTGTGGCTCATCTCTTGGTGCCCAAAATTTAGCAAATTTGTGTTTCAATAAGAAAAAAGATTAATATGACTAATTTATTCAATATAATGCAGTAAACAGTATGTAATATTGAAATAATAGAAAAGATTTGTAACTCCGGTGGATGATTTGCAATTAATAGTGTTCTCTGAGCTGGTTGGTTTAGTTCCGGAGCCTTCGTCGTCTTTCTGGACGACATCTTCAGTTCAGTATTTAGGATAAAGTGAAATGATTTAAATTTTTCATGAGTGATAGAATCACATCTCCCGGTAACCATCTTTACCTATGTATTGATCATTTTCTATTGACTTGGATTTTAAATTTTCTGGTCACATGATCTACTTTTTATTAGTTGGTATATTTCGTCTATATTAACGTGTTTATTAATTGCATATTCGTTTGTGTACCAGGCTTCTAGGAATTCCCTGGCACTTTTGGTGTTTCTTCTGTCTAAGATTTTGACATTATCCCAATCAAATTGATGTCCATAATTTTCTGTATGCATTGATAATAAAGAATTTATATCATGTCTTTTCACGGCAGATTTGTACTCTTGGATTCTTATTCGAAGGGGACGCCCACTTTGGCTGATGTAATGTTTTGTTACAGTTCATACAATTTATTTTGTAAATGGTGTTAATTTTATCCTCTTTTTCTGTTGGATCTTTTGGTTTGCATAAGATCGAATTAAGCGATTCAACTGGTTTATGTGCTACATCTATATCAAACGGTTTCATTATTCTAGCTGTTATTTCAGAGATATTTCTGATGTATGGTAGGATGAATCTCTTTTTGGTCTTTGGTGATGGTTCTTTGTTGGTGTTTTGATTCGACTTTAAACACTTTTTGATGAAATTTTTTGGATAACCATTCTTTTTGAAGACCGTTTGTAAGTATTTTTCTTCCATTCTTTTCAACTCTGGTGTGCTGCAATGTGTTTGAACTCTTCTAAACAATATCTGCACACAGTTTCTTTTGTGAGTAATTGGATTATTGCTAGTATAGTTGAGTATTTGGTCTGTGTGCGTTGATTTTCTATATACTTGTGCTTCTAAATTTCCTGTGTTGGTTCTCCTGATTAAGACATCTAAAAATGGGATTTTGTTATCTAATTCTTCTTCTCTTGTGAATTTGATGTCTTCAAATATGTTGTTTATCAATTTATGGGTATATTCAAAATCATTTCTCTTAATTATTACAAATGTATCATCAACGTAACGTTACGTTGATGATACATTTGTAATTTACTGGGAGACACAATTATATCACTCATGAAGAAATTTAAATCATTTCACTTTATCCTAAATACTGAACTGAAGATGTCGTCCAGAAAGACGACGAAAGTTCCGCAACTAAACCAACCAGCTCAGAGAACACTATTAATTGCAAAAGTATGTAGTATTGATTAGTCACTAAGGGGGGGGGAGCATAATCAGTTTCCAATTCCAATAAGATATTTTGTAAGGCTATTTAAATATATCAGAATAATTGTGTCCAAATGCTAGTCCATATATAACTTTATGTATTTTGAATGACTTGGTCACATATCTAATGCCGTCAGTCATCGAGTTTGCAATGTGGTCATCTGTTTATGGGACTCTCCACCGCGTGCTCTTTCGATATTTTGCTTAATGATTAGATGCAGTCGACACAGAAGCTGTAGATCTAGGTATAGTGCTTTATTAGCACTCATCAGTAATGAGCCAAATAGTTCAGTGGTAATATCTCTGACTGCATTACTGAATGAGGCGGCTTCAAGATTACAGATATACTAATAAAGACGAAACCTAGATTAAACCCTTTCTTTGGATTGACTCCAAGAATCTCTTGAGATTCCAGAGAGACTGAAGTTCTTCGGATTTCGTATCATTTAGAAGCCGTTATAGCCTTTTAATTCTGTTATTTATGCTAAAAGTTACAGAAGAGAAAATATTTAATTGGTTGATGGTGACTAGCAGTGGAATCCAGGATGCGCATTTCGTCCTATTTGGGACTCGTCATCTGGATGTACCTGCATTTCTCACTGAGTGATGATGTTCCCGCCGAGGCTCGAACCCAGTGCCCATAGTTTCAAACGCCGAAGCACTGAGTTCGAGCCTCGGCGGGAACATCATCACTCAATGAGAAATGCAAGTACATCCATCTGACGAGTCCCAAATAGGATGAAATGCGCATCCTGGGTTCCACCATCCATCAATTAAATACTAACTAAATGCCCATATATCGTCGAAGCATCTGCACAAGAAGCCGAAATGTCCACCTGAGACCGAGTACTTCGGTCCAGTCGACAGGAAAATCTCAAATTCAATTAAAGGACAGAAGATAATTAACATTATTTGTAACAGAAGAATCTCATCACTTATAAATGAATCAAAATGGAATTCATCTCTGTTTGCACATCTGGTACATCAATGTGTGTACATTAGTGAAGTATGTAAATTGTGGGGAGAAGAAAGACTAAGAATACTAGACGATGTCTCTCCCTTCAAACAAATTTCTGGCATAACTTGTAAGACCATAAGTACCCGAAGTTTAAGTACTTTCTACCTAACGTTATCTATGCTGCCAATGCCTCATTCAAGTCATGAAACTTACTATCTGCTACATAATTAACATTGTTGTTTGTTTAAGACAAATCTAACAATTATTACCGCTGATCTCCGTGATTTCGATGAATTGGATTATGCGGATGATCGTGGGGAGTGAGAAGAAGGTCATACTGTAGAGTGAGAAAAAAAACCTAGATGGGCTGAACTTCGCGGATGATTTTTGTCGTCTGTGTCATACAAACTTGAAATTTTACTAGCCAAGATCAATAAGTTGATAGAAGAGGCAGCGAAGGCTGGACTTCAGATGAAAAGACAGAGGTGATGAAGATGCCTGAAAACCGACGAAAACAACAACAACAAACAGGCGAAATATAGAGGAAGTTGTCTTTTTCATTTATCTGAGCAGCATAATTTCAACTACAGGTGGCACGAATGAGGGTTTCAAAGTCAAACCCTGGATCGAATGTGGAAAGCAAGACAGGCGTTTATAACTTTGAAACACAGGCGATATTTCCTTGTGGAGATTGATTTATATTGGAAAATATTTTTATTCCTGTTATCAAAAGAGTAGATTACCATTTTTACAAAAATTAAAATCTTTCAGTCGTAGTGATGATCATGAATTATTCGATCGTATATTGACTGGACACCAACTAGTGTCATGAATCTATTACTTCACTTAGTGCAGACTGAATTCACTACCAATCAAGTTTGCAATGTGGCCACCAAGCTAGGTGACTCACCATCGTTGAGCACTCAGAATTATTTTTATCAGGTGGTTGAAGGCAATTCGCAGGAAGCCTTGGACCTACGTTTTGTGCCTGTCGCACTCGTTAAGAAGGCGTATCTGCTCAGTGGTAGCATCTCTAATTACCGCACTGGGTGACACGGTTTGAATCTCAGAAGGGGGGTATGAGTTCTTTCAGGATTGTAGGTACGTCCTGATGATGAGTGCCAGCAAGCAGGAAACTTGGATGGAGGTCTTCCTGCCGATTGCCTCCAACCATCTAATCAAAACAGTCCGAGTACGTACATTATTTGTGTTATCAAGAGAAGATAAACACGCCCATATTTTGAGGCAGATAAAGTTCATCAGAATATCATGATGACATGAAGCGTGTTGTTAAAACTATATTAGATGATATTGAAAACTATCGGAGGTTGTAGTAGTACCGTTGTAACTAATCCATAAGTAAATATTTTATTTCATCTGGCTCCGACTACAGCAATGAACAAAAGTAGTGTAAACACAAACTGTGAAAATGTAAGGAAACTGTGTTTACGTCCCAAATCGGGGTCATGAGAAAAAACGGGAACAAAACCTTACCTTGAGGAACTCAACGACCAGTCACAGCAGACAGCGTGAGTGGATACGATTCGCAGATATATCACGGGACTGTCTAAGAAACGGCAAAAAAGAGATGACAGAATAACCTACAGCGGGAAAACAGCCAATCAGAAGACGTTGCTTCCCTGCTAACAATAATGAATAATAATGTAGTACATAAAAATCTATAAGTATCTGTTGATTTTCTCAATAAACGATCTGGTGTCTGGCCCTTGTGTTCTGTCCTTAGAAAGCCACATATTGAGAAGTGATGTATTCAGTGGGGAATAAAAAGGTTTATTAAACCTAAGTAAGGCTCATTAAAGAAGCAGCTGGTCTAAAATTTGTTTCAAATGCACGAGAAGTCGGGTTATCGATGTGCAGCTATTGCAGTAACGCTTAGTGACATTTTGTAATCTAGTTGTAGAGAAAATATCCAGTAGTTATCTAGTACTGATCATAATATGTTGGTAAACTGTCATGGAAATTGTATAGTCTACCACCATTTTAAACTCCGTGAAATAATCTTATTTGCCAACCAGAATTATCTGGTTGATTTAGTTCTTTTTAGGCGGGGAACCTTGACACTACAAATGAAAGATATTTGGAATGCTATATGATTTAGATCTGGAGATTTTAGCAAAAATTGACCGCTCGGGCTGATGCAAATTTATTTTTATCCGATTTCAATTACTTTGTGAAATATTTCAGAGCACATCTTCACAACATCTATAGTCTGGGAACAAATCATGTACTTTGTAAGAAGAATAATGACTTATTCAAGTGTTGGTTTGTCGGGATTTGATTGACTGGTTACGGGACTTCATCATGAGGTGATATCGGTTAGAGAAACACTGGAAAACCTGGGAGTACTGGATAGCTGTTTTGACCTAGTGTGGGACTCTTCACACCCGGTGGGTGCCACCGGGGTTCGGTCCCAGGGCCTTCCGGTTAGAAGGCGAGCTTGTAGACCATTAAGCCACTGACTTATTTTTTACTTTGAAAGAAGCAGTTCACTACGGATAAAAAGAGGTTGAATAAAGAATGAGACTGTCATATATCTTTGCATCTAAGTAGATTTAATTGAACTTTCACTATACAGCGAAAAATCAAAACTGTTTTGCAAATGCTAAAGGGGTGTGTCTATAAAAGAAATCGAGTAATTAAAATATAAGACATTAATGAACTTTGTATCCTTAAACTGAGCATTTTATCTGACTATGTTTGTTAATAAAACTTCATTTTTTCGCAGGGGATTTTAAATATGGATACGAATCTTCATTGTGATCCTAATTTACTTCCTCAACCGAATCATGTAATTGTCAATCATTTATACGCTCTTTCAATAAAAGTAAGTTGACGTATTTTCTAGTGAATATTTATATTGCCACACGAGTGTTAAGTTGTCATAAGAAAACTGTCATTCTCTACTAACTTATAACACATGGAAAATATTCTCATACTTTACCTTCATTATTTCGTACCACAAAATAAAGAAGATAGTCAAAGAAATGCATTATGAAATCGTTAAGTATATACAACAGGTACGTACAATTCTGAGGAATGTCTGTCACTTCGTACTATTTTCGACAATAGGCATAACATGGAAACCGCAGTGTGGGCGTCTTTGCCTTTCATCCTGGGTCACAATTAACAAGGCATTCAGCCACTAGGTCGCAGGAAGTGATGATGCATTATCCTTCATCTCATTGTGACACTCTTTTAAGCCAGTTCGAGAGGCTGAGCTCATATTTGCGGTACCGAAGCGGATCGTCCGAGATGACATCAGCTGTCGACAGCCATCCTATACAAACACGAAAACCGTGGGAAGTAGTAATTACTTTTATGTTGTTGTCGGAATACATATACACCTATTAAGATAGCGATGGCTGGAAACACAGACTTGCCGTATATCTTAGACTCGGAAAAGTGAGACCAGATGAACTGAAGTGTCGTCGTAGCGGTAGTCGAATGGCGTATCGCTCCGGTGTCTGATTTTGGTCATAACCCTGGTTCGTCACATTCGCCATCTCTCACTCAAACTTTTAAGTTGATTCTGGCAGTGCGGTCAAAGAATCTAATCTTGTAACGGCACTGCCCAACTGGTGCAGAGCTCACGCCATACATCGACTCACACTGAGCTGTGCTACGTATTTAGCCTGTTAGTCACCATACAGTAGGTCGATATTATCTGCACCTTTACAGGTTGAATGATCTTTTCCCATATAGATCTACCAGTGCGCACAGTCCTCGGGACTGTCTCTAGAATGTTGTCAGCGGCAGAGTAGGAGAGAAATAAAGGATTTAGGCAACCCTAACCTTACACTTAGTTCGGAGCAGTGGTGATAAATGGTTGTATGCCTTCGCGATACCTGAGGTATTTTCATAGTGTACTTTCGAAGCTTAGTCTGCAATTAGTGGTTGTGGTTTTCCACACGAGCTACAAAAACAGTTGGCAGCACAGTGACACTACAGTATGTTTAACGTGAGCTTATTTCAAAGAAAACTAATGCATAGTTCCTACCACAGTGCCCAAGGTCTACTTTTACTACAATGATGTACCCAATACAGATTGCTAGAACTTCCAACTTTTCCCTGTATCAACAGTAACAGTTGCCAAGGTTATGCGACTCTCTCACTACAACCAATCCGTGTCGCGCAAAAATATTCTTATCCCTTCTTTGGCTACTGAAATAGCGGGCAGCACTAATTTACACACATTATTTATGAAGCAGATAAGACTCTACCATTCTCATGTTTCACCATAAGGAATCTATTTTCGTTTGCCTTTTTTTCCAGGATGGCGTTATTGTCCTCAGCGTCATAACTCGCTTCCGACAGAAGTTTGTATCTACTCTATTTTACAGACCTATTGAAAGATAAGTGCACACTTCACGGCAGATATTGTGTCTTCTATACTTATACAATCTCTCTGTCCCTATCTCAGGAATCCATCTACATGTTTATATCATCGGGTTATTTTTACTGCGATATATGCATACATATATATTTGAAAATGTGCCTAGAGCCCGTTTGTATAAACCTTTTAAAACTGTATTCGCTTTTTACCTCCTATGGCACCCCAGACCACTTCAACCACAAGTGTGTTTCTCAATAAAAAGAACAAATTTTGAAAATTGGTAAACACTGATTTATTACAAAACGGGAAGAAACACAATAGACTTATGAAGTATATTATCAATGGAATAGAATATTTTTGAAAAATACAAACCAACTGTACACCTAAGAAAAATATTAATTAAAACATCTACCTATATCAACGAAATGCTGCCAATTTGAAAAGTCCTAAGTAAACAATATACATGGAATAGAGACAAGGGATCTGGCTGTAAACAAATAAAAGGGTTGGTGGTGTTGTTGGTTTGGTAGTAGGGATAAACTGTTGAGCAAGAAAATATTATTAATATTATGATTATTAAATACACTGACATAGAAATGCAACATAAGTATATTAGAGATAAAGGTTTGAATATACAATAATATTATAAAATTTTAGGAATAAAACGATAAGGTACAAGTGCCATGTATTTTTGCCATGCAGGACCATGTTTCTTTAAGCAAGCCTCTTCAACAACAAATGCACGATGTAGAAGGAAGAGAATGACGAAAATTGGAATAATCCACGGGATCACTGAGTCGAAACCTACAGTAGGGAAAAGAAAACAGAGAATTATTCGACAGTGTAATTAGTCTTCCTTTTAAGAATACACAGGCTAAAACTGCTGCCGAGAAAGCTGTCAAGAAAGGTTAGTATTGTCCTCGGCTCTAAGAGTGCCATCGAAATAATAGTATAAGTGGTAGACTTTATCAACCAATATAAGTAACAACCGTTAGTAGACAAGAAAGCTAACTTCACTTACCACATGGAATTGCCATTGCCAGGGCCATTATCATGTACCCTACATAATTAGGATGGCGAACACGTCCCCAGAAACCTCCAGCTAAAAGTCGTTGAGTGCCAGGACCGGCTATGATTTCAGCATCTACAGAATTAATTTTTAAAACGAATTACACTTGTTTTACAATATATGTATATATATAGGGTAAATAAGTTAGGAAGGAATACAAGAAGAGGGACATTTGTTACCATACATCGATTTTTTTCTCAATAAAACCCGGATCCTGTCCTCATGCTGAATGTGGTATTATACAGGTGAAATAAAGTTTCTACCGATACATCCAACGAATATATTTCTGCGTAGATAACAGTTGTTTCACCAGAGTGTAAATACAGGTCCCACTACTACTAACCAAATAATACCTACCTGAACTCAAGGTATTGTTGACGTGTCCGTTACCGGGAGCAGATATGTCAGACACAAATTGAATATTTTGATCCAGACAAAACCAATTAGTGGGAAATTGTAATAGACCACAGTTGTTAGGCCTAATTGAAATACATACTGCAAGCATTACTGTGTATATCTATGTTTAAAAACACTTGCATTATAAACAGAAAACTAAACATAAACAACATATGTCCAAGATATATTTTACTTACTACTAAATGATGGATGGTGAGGATCACGTCGGAACAGGTTTTTCTGATTGCTAGATACTCGATGTATCCATAGTCCTAATAGAAATACAATAACAGATACTCCCATTGTATACGGGTCACAGCTGTGTTTTGATAAACTTGTCGGCAATCGACCAACATCAGGTTTTGACGATAAATATGAACTTGTTATAGAATAGGCAAAGGGTAAGGCAACAAGCTGGCCTAGAACGAAACTTGAACCAAATGTTACCGACTGAACTTCATATGTGTATATAAAGGCATGCTAAAATATACACAGTGAAAAATAAGAAAAACACAATGAAGTAACTCTCATTTTTATTCAAAGTAAGATACAAATTCATCTGCATTACTTAATATTTACGACAGAATAACATAAATCAGAAAATAATATGTAGCTTTCAAAATCGTTAACATAAATAGGATGTAAACGTACTTCGAAGATGAAGAAGTCTAACACCCACAAAGTATGCATCAGTGCATGAGCAGCAAGAGCTGGACTAACTCGTTCATACTGTTCATATTGTTTGAAAATGTATGCCACATCGATTAATGGTAAGGCTGTTAGTCCGGAACGTATTACAACCATTTTCCAGTCTATGCCAAACCACAAAGGTCGCGAATACCGACCATACCAAAAGTCAAGAAACACACTGCCTATATAAGAAATACAAAATATGTATTTTAAAATAGTCAGTAAAATTTCAATGCCTCAAAACTATCGGAGATAAATTTGAAAAAGCATACAAATTTTTCTCAGCTTGATATGAAAAATATAAATTATAACACTCCAGCGAACAACAAGTATAAAAGCTGCAGTGCGGAGCTAATTTTAGACTGAGTCGACATCTTAGAGTACTTTGAACTTGACTGAACAAATGTTAATCTGTTGGCAATCAGGCGAATTCAAGTTCCGGGAAACGGTTGTACTGTTTGATTTCTACATGTAATAATGATTCGTCAATCTAGAAACTCTAAATTCAAAAGGTTTAAGTATTGAGTTAGTCACAGACTTGACACGTCTCACCGTTTTACCAATGACTTATCTTAACAACCACAATTCCAATAAGAAAAGATAACGCTGTGTTAGGACAATCTGCCCTACAAGCATTTCTTACATTACAATAAACGCAGTGATAAGTCATCGAATATCTATCAACTAGATACTTGCCTATGACATTTCCGTCTATGGAAAAACCTTTTAAAGGATCCAATGTTCTGTCTGGTGGAATAAGTACTGCAAACCACAGGAGTTACTAATTCCATACCTTTCAATGAGCTGAACTTTAGTCGTAAATGAGTTAATGCTGATGAAGAATTGAAGAAAATAGTTCAGATCGATAATCTTTTCACAGATGTAAATAAACATGTTTGTAGGTTTAAAACCCAATAAAACAGTATTACTTACTGGATGATGAAGTTTTGAACATAAATTATTGTCTTCATAATCATAGAAAATTTTAAATATACAACTTTGAAACCTGATTTTTCTTACCTTATAGACTGAATAATTTAAAATCAGAAGTGGTTAGCTTCGATATTATTAGTTTACACATACACAAATGCCAGTAAATACGACGATATAAGCGGTCAGGAACGAACTCATTTATCATCAACAACATGAATTTACAATCTATGTACCACTGGGAGACACTAAGCTAGGAGTACAACTAATTCTGACTTCCACAGTACTTAAGTTCCAAAGAAAAACAGACAAACAAACTGAAGGAATTACCACCGGGTCGACAATATCCTTAATAGTCTCCATATATACTTATGGATATGTGGGAACGCTCAGCTCCACTCCTAAGGCATATGGATGTCAAACCCACGGCACTAAAAAGCAGAATATAAATAGATTTTAGAGCACGTCAACCCAACAGCAGATGCAATAGTGAATAAACTTATGGATTGAGAAGTAAGTCATGAAGGAGAACTTTCAGAGTTAGATTGCATCACATAAGGAAAACAAAGTGGGAAGCTACACACTAATGTTCACACATTCAAACTGATATTTGGATTTCGATCCATCCCATCCCATGTCAATTAAAAAAGGATTGGTGAAATGTTTAAGTAATAGGACAAAAGAGCAGAATGGTACCAGAGAAGGTTCATGGCGAGGAGTAAGATGTATAAGAGCAGCTTGACACGTAATAATTACGCCGATAAATTAATCAGAGAGTATGTAAGAATAAAATTTCCTAGAAAATAATAGTAAGTAAAGACGACATGAATGAAAAAATAAAAAGGAAGATGATAAGGTCAACAGTAGGGAACTCAAAACATTACTAGTGCTTCTGAATATTGAGGGAAACCTTAGGCCGAATTGTTAACAAAACAGATAAAAGTAGCATTTAAACTCACTTATACACAAATCACACCGGTTAAAGAATCCCCTGTACCCAATTATTTATTATTATTATTATTGCTCCCTTGGGTTCCTAGTGGAACATAGGACTTCAACTGCACGTCTCCACTTGCTTCTGTCTTCTGCTGTACTCTTCACCTGCATCCATGTTAGTCCACACTGTTCCAACTCCTCTTCACACGATCTCCTCCATGTCACCCTAGCACTGACGTCCCACTCGCCACTTCTCTTTCAGGTTCCACTCGAGGGCTTGACGCGCGATGTTACCTAGCGGTCTCCTCAGCGAGTGTCCAATCCATCTCCACTTTCTCCTGCATATTTGTTGGGCGACTGGTTCTTGTTTTGCTTGTTCCCACAGTTCCTTGTCGGTGATTCTTTCCGGCCATCTGATCTTCAGTATAAAGCGAAGACAGTTGTTGATAAAAGTAGCGTCTGCAACAGGCTGTTGGAAACATTCTTTGTGACCCCCTCCCGCCAATTTTCTGATCCGTATGGAAGAACTGACTTGGCATTTGTATTGAAGATCCAACCGGAATTTTTTATTGATGCTGAGTGACGAAGATTTCCAGATTGATTTTAGGTTGGTGAATGCGTTTCTCGCCTTCCCGATTCTCGCTCGATTTGACATCCTCGGCCGTTCCGACTGCCTGTAGTTGAGACAATGCTCCCTAGATGAGTGAATGAAGTAACCTCTTTCAAATCCCTCGCGTTGATGGTGATTGACGCTAGATGTTGTTGCTGTTGTTGTTGTAGGTTGGTTATTTTCATCACCTCCGTCTTGTCTATGTTCACTTGGAGTCCTGTCTTCGCTGGCTGCTTCTTCGACCAGTTTGTCGGTTTTCGCTCGTAAGTCTTCGATTTTGTGTGACATCTGCTGCTGAAACTCGTACGCTGAATTCCAACGTCCCAATCGAAACGTAAAAGAATGAAAAGATAAGTGTAAAGTAAATTTTCTCTACATACTTGTTTTAGCTGCTGACTGTCTTGTATAACGTGTAACTGTTCGTGAGGCGAAAAATGCTGCAAACGATATTATGAAGGTAGCCAAACACGTTGAAGTGAGTAGGCCCAGCCAAAAATTTGGAATCATTGTGCTTGGCTTTAAGTCCTTGACAATGGGATACTCCGACAATTGTGCGAATGCAAACAATCCCATGAAAACGACGAATGATATTAAACCTAAGGGATTAACAAAAGTCCCATTCATATAAGTTTTTCTCCAAAAACAACTTAAACTAGACGATATTTAGTACGAATTACTATTTATGAAATTTCGAAGACCTGAAATTGTATATATATATATATATATATATATATATATATATATATATATATGAACTTAGCTAAAGATAGCATTGTAAATCTGGTTCTTTATACTCCATCATATTCATAATGGGCATGAAAAGCTGACCAGCACGAAACGGGATAAGATACTTCAGGTCCAAGTATAATTAACTGTATAATCGCATTTAGTCGACTGTCTTTTCGGCATGATGCGTAGCATTCTGAATTCCCTGAAATTTCTTAGAAACAAACGTTGTTCAAAAAATATCTAAAAATTATGGTAAGACTGTGAAGGCTCTGGTATGAGGAAAAATCATTATGGTGTTGGAGTGAAAACTACTCTTTTTCCCTAGTAACTAGTAGTGTTCAACACAACAGATCTATTTTCTGCTTGATTTTGTCCTTCTAAAGTGGCTTTCAGAATGCTATAGCTTGTGGACTGATGAAGCTCGTACGGGAACGCTAAATGCAATAATCCTATGAATTGAACACACGCAAATTATGGATAGGCAGAAAGACGCATGAACTAAACGAAAAAGCATTCGAAGAGATCTTATGGATCATGCCTCCACTTCCGGTGTTAAGTGGTATAATATGGTAATGCTGAGATTAGGCGTAGTGGTAAGTCAGTTGGTGAGGCTGCGTAGAGTGATATAGCCAGGACACGTATCGCTCATGCCGAGCCATCACCTTTCTCGACAGGCATTGCTAACAGGCATGGGATTAGATTGGAAGAGTTAAAGGTCGAACCAAATCTTGGAGTCAGTCCGTGAAGTCTTTGAGCAATATAAGGGGTCGTAGGCTGTTTGGTTGGAGTCTTTGAGATTCTGAAAACCAAATGGAGCCTATTGGTGATATGACTCAAAATTATTTTCAATGGAGCAAATGTATTCACTTTGTGGTCTTCTACATCCACATAACTCATCATACTCCGTTTGAATTTCTTCTCCCCTTCTTTTGCCTACCTTTTTGTACTACAGGGAATGTGGCAATTAGAATTGCTGCACTTCTGTGCAAAGTTTTACGATGAAGCTTAGCAGCAGAATGGGTTATGTAATGAAGTGGCTTGAGACTCGTCTCATCCCTGGTAATCGAAATCAAAGGAAACTAACCGGACAACATCTTCCTGTTAATCTTATACACATATCACTCTACTAAACTAATCTGTGTAGTGCAGTTGCTGTTGTCTGTGTTGTTTTACTTAGTAACTAAACATCGATGGGAAATTAACAGGAGACAACATGTCTATCATCATGGATATTTATATTCTGCGAAAACTACGTTACTGTACCAAAATTAGTTTAACTTACCATTACAACGACAATCGTTATTTCTAGAGCTTGTGTTTGCAAGATGACCAAATGGAATGAAACGGGCGATCAGACAGTGTAAAAATAAATATGCAGAAACGAATGCTACACTTTGAATGTTGAAATAAACGCGCCAATCTGTTGGCCACATCACCCTAAACAGCGGACGTGCAGGTCCCCATAAACTTTTAATGTCTGACTTATCTTCCACAAGTGGTGGTGCAAAAACCAAAAGATTCAACCAGTAAATGAACGGTACGACAAAAATCAGTTGGGAAATTCCCACAACTGTTGGACTAAAGAAAGTTTTACGGTAATTCGTTGAAACTGGAGGTGAAGGTGGTTTATGAGAGTGAAATGTTTCCGGTTTTTGAACTTGCCTGTAAAAAATAAACAGATATGAAACATGAAAAGAATGAGACTAAATAAGTTTAGTAATTTGAGAAAAACGATAAATCCATTACCTAAGAGATTTCATATTTCATGAATGAATAGACTTCATAGCAAGCCTTAAGTTTTCAAGTTAATTTTGCACTACATTACATTAGCCACTAAGCCAAATGACTAGCAAAGCTCTTCATAGTAGTACGAATAGCCGAAATTAGATGCACTTAAAAGATTATTACGTAAACAGATTGAAAAGTGAAGCTGTGAGTTGACAAAAGTATACATCAAGTTACTGTCAATTCAGAATTATACATTGACTTTCATCTGAATTACTATGATTCAGTACTAGACCAATGGGTTTGATATGCGTCAAGGAGATACTTGTTAGACAAGAGTCATTTTTCTTATATAAACTAATACACCCAACCCAAACTGTCATCAATTAGAACTTTCATAAAATATGACAAAAAAATGCTTACTCTTCTTTGCGAAAATAAGTTGATTGTTCGAGCTCAATCTTTTTAACGATCCCTTCAGAAAATCGCGACAATCCAGTGTATTCAATAAATGGTTTAGATAGAACGGTTTGGATAGGACGGTCAACAATCTCAGTACGCTTTGTTGGTTTAGTAGGACTTTTACTAGACCCCTCACTGTGCTCGCTGCTAGGTGAGCGTCTCTTCCTAACTTTTGACTCCGAAGCAGGTGTTCGTGGTCGTCTCGTAGGTGTTTTCGATCGAGATCGTGGAGTTGCAGGAGTACGGGAACGACTTTTTGGAGTATCCCGACCGACAGACTTGCTTCGACCTCGTACTACCTATACAGAAACATGAAAAAAGTGTTGGGGTGAATACTGCACCACAAAGTTGACTACTCATTAATTTAAAATCACGGACACAGTTCAGTAAGTCTGCTGGGCAAACAATACGCTGTGATCGATATTCTGTATAACAGTTGCGCAGGTTGATCTAGCTTCAAAGTAAAAATGTATTGTTTGCAACGCGATTTCTGAAGTCAAGTTTGACATCCTGAAAGGGTGCCTTCCTTCACGCAAACATTTTCGTCAATAAGTGAGTGTGTTGATGAAACTGGTGGAGCTACTCGTCTTCGGACTAAGTTTAACTTCAACCAGTCTTATGATAGAAACCTGACCCACTTACGAAATTGTGGACAGTCGGATATTTTAATTAGCCCTAACAACAAATTCACTAAATGGAAATCAAAATGATGGTTGAGTAATTATTTGCCTCATTTTTCCTTCCGACTATGTTGGGACTTGGTTTTCCTTGAGCCTTATTGTTAAGCTAGTGTAGATATGTGTAATTTGATTCATCTCTATAAAAAGAACGTGCATACAATTAACTCCCAAATCCATTAAATCTTCATGTTTCTACATTTTGCTATTTTTTCTCTGGCACATCTCTGCGCATAACAGTTTTTTTCTTATCTCTGTCTGTCTGTCTGTTTTCGACATAGAACTTTGCACAAATGTGCGGAAGTTCAAGTCGCCACATTCCGTGTAGCACGCGAAGCAAGAGAAGAAAGTACAAGAAAAGCATAATAGAAACAGTGAGCAGAGGTGTGAGACAAAGGAGTAATAAAGAAATACAAAACAATTTCATTGAAGATCATAAGTCACAGGGAGTGGATGCATCTGCGCCACTGAGAACGATTTTGAGCCATGTCACGATTTTTGCCGTCCCGAGGACCCCAGCCTGGAAGTCTACACCTTCCTACGTGGCTAAGACCAACTGTTGTGGATTTCATTGACTGATGCCAAGTTTTTGTTTGACCGCCGCTAGCTTTTTTCCAGCCTGACCCTATATCCGCTAACATAGCTCGTCGAGGGAGGCGATGACTTGGCATACGTAACACATGTCCTAACCATCTCAGTCGATGTAGCTTCACGACTTCGTCGATTGATTTCCCCTGTTTACCTAGAACTCTACACCTAACCTCCATGTTGCTCACCTTATTATGCCACTTTACACGGGAAATAGAACGCAGGCACCTATGATCAAAGACAGCTAGTCTTTTCATGTCTTCCACTCTCAGTGGCCAGGTCTCACAACCATAAAGGAGGACGGAGCGGACTGATGAGCAGTACACCCGCCCTTTGGTCGGTAGTCGAACATCTCGTCTACGCCAGAGTCGGCGTAAACTAACAAATGCGAAACGAGCCCCTTGTATTCGTGCTGAGATTTCGTCGGAGATCAGTCCGTTGGGGCTGATGGTACTTCCCAAATAAGTGAAGCGGTCAACGTGCTCTACCACTTCACTTCCTACATGGTGTGGCAACTTGGGCTGTTGCAGAGCTCTACGCTGAAATAATCGACCTTATTACAATAACAGAACACCCATATAAGAAACCTCAAATATCCGGAGATATTAGATAAGCAAAAGCGTGCAGAACGAGATATCTAGAAATGAACAAATAAATAAAGATATATCTTAGTAGCTGAATGCGTACGTCAGTAGTTCAATGGTTGATTGTACACCAACCACACACGTGGCCTAGGTTCGACGCACTTCTGAAACCAGTTTACTAAGCTACAGTTAATCCACGAGAAGACTTGATATCAAGCTAGAAACCGCACATCGTAAAAGTAACTTCGAGAGCTTGATGTCCTATGTTCCACTCCAGGAGCAAAAAAAATGAAAAACGCATAATACTTGTAAAGGGAAATATTTACTTTATAATAAGTTCAGATCACACCTGATGCTTACTTCAACAATGATATGTGAAACATGGATGTTAGGACAGTAGCTAATGCACATAACCTGAGCCCTGTCATGAAGAAATTCTGTAAGTCAGTGAGCATGTCCTTTGTTCAAACAAATAGATTGTTGATGCACTAAGAAATGTGACTACTGTATAAGAAATGATTGTAGTACGCAGACCCACACATTTAAAAGCCTCATATGGACCAGACACCTATGGTTAGAAATGGACTACTCGACGGGATAGTGTGAGTTTATTAACGAGTTTATGATCGAGTGAAAAGAAAAACAAGCTATCTCTGCATAGTCCAATGAACTGCCTAGAACATATATACACAGAAAACGACACAATAAATAATACTACCCCAAGGAGTGGTTATTCACATTAAGTGCGCACGATTTACGATAGTGTTGTCATTCACAAACCGAGTCACATACTCTCTGAAACTTCTATCCTGCAATTCAAAGAGGTGTGTAGTTAACAAGAATCGAATCTACCTTAAACTATCCCCATTAAGAGCTATGTAGATCTCAGCAGGAAATTAAAATGAAGTCCAATGGCAACTACGTGATAAACATAGGAAGACTGACAAAAAATACCCTACGATTGGCTGAATGAAACTCCCCTATTTTACGACCAAGTCAGCATAATACGCATTCACAAATACCAGTCGACGTACTAGGATGGAAAACTAAATTAGATCATGATTACTAAAATGCTTTGAACATACTGAACAATCCTTTCTAAAGCGTATTTTGTGGACTACTAAAATATGGTGTGCCTCAATGAATGTATAACTTCTCACTCAATGAATTGCAAAAACCAGAAATTCCGTAACAAGCATCAAATAATCTCAAAATAATTCGAATTTACGAATCGACAATGTGTTTTTATGGTAAATGAATATTTTATCCACCTAAAATGAATCCACTATGATCTGAAATAACGCAGGTCGTTCTTAAAAATAGTATTTGCAGCTGAAATACCTTCAGTGCTAAAATAAAGCTGAAAAAACTGTCACTATGTGCTGAATTGTCTTTCTGTCCTGAAATAATGGTAGTTGGTGCTGAATTTGGGTTGAGAAGGCTGAAACAATGGTGATTAGCAAACCTAGTTGGTTCTGAGGAACTTCTGAAAATACTAAAATAGCACAGGTTGCTGTATTAGTGCGTCATGCTGAAAACCAGCATTGAGTCATAGTCTATGAGGATAATCACACCATTTCAGGACTACTCCAGAATTTACTCATTACAGAATGCTAGTCATTTCAGAATTAGCGAGATTTAATTCAGCACTACAATTAGTTTGGGGCCATGAGGAATAACGTTTGAGGTTAACTTAAAAGTGTTGACAGCATACATACCTCGATCTGAACATAGTAATTCAATGCGCAAAACATTATTTTCTTATAGTTACGATATAAACCGACTGCTTAAATCCAAAAATATGAAAAAAATGCAGCGAACTTCAAGACGATAGACACCTGAAAATACCATTGAAAATTTGCCCAATTTTAGAAAAAATAAAACATGAGATACTTCAAAAAGAAATGCTTACTACTTCTTTGGTTTTCTTCTTCGACAGCACCATAACAGAACACAAAAAGAAACAGGTACGCAGAAAGAACAAAGGGACAAAATGGAGGTCACTGCCACCAACTAAAACAAATGAAAATTCCTGCTCCATTATATACAAGATTTTATTTTGATCATTCACACAGTGTTGTACAGTAATATTAAACTGATGACGTTTAGAGCACAAACTATTGCTCATAATCATAACAAGTCACCTATACAACTTTTTACTTCATTTACATACATGAGTGAAACTGAATAGAAGTTTGAATAAAAATCAGTATAGGATAGTGTACATTCAGAAATAATAATATGAGTGTTAACTATGAAATACAGTCAGATGGGGAATAAAGTGTTTCCTGGATGAGTAATTGAGCGATTGAAACGATTCAAATTTGTGACCAACACCAAATCTGTTGATCAGCATGCGCCACCCTACCTCCTCTTTTGATATTAAGCTCCAAGTTGTTTTGAGATAACTGTAGGTCCAGTACTGCATGCTTTCAGCCCATCCGCATCGTTCAGTATACTGTGCGTTTACAGTTTTTATTCCAAGTACGTCAAATTAAGTCACTAGGGGGGCGTTAATTGCAGCCTTGCCAAAAGTTTAGATAGGCCAGGCTAAATAGTCAGAAAGTACTACGACCAAAGCTACTGCCTATCAAGATTGATGGTCACGAAGAAAGTAGAAGTAAAAACTATCTGATATTAGATATTAAATGTCTGCGAAGCCTAAATCTACCGGAATCCTCTTGTTGGTCTTTCTGAGTTTAGGCATGCCCATCTAGTGACCCATGCCACTTTAATTGTATACTTGTGCTTGTGCAGGCTACGCTCAATAAGCGAATCATTAAGTGAGCATCGACTTGTTAAAATTTCGTCATTCTCAGCCATTCCGTCGAGTTTTTAGTTATTTCCTCCCGGGTCCCTCTTTCAACCAAAATTCCTATCAGCCGTTGGGATTTTGATGTCGTCATTTAAGTTCTCATCCAGTGTTGTTTGTAGTTGTCTGTAGAAGTACTTTTTCGATTTGCGTTGTTCCTATGTTCGTAGCATAGGAAAGCTGTAACTTTCCTTCATTTTGAGCTGAATCTTGCTTTCATGATACTTGGGGGGACTGGCTCCTACCACCGTTGCTTCCGTTGCTATTAATTATGTGACAGTAGCTACTGCCCCAATGTGCCCGTGGTTGTCACAGTCAGCCTCCGTCGCATCTGCTGTCACAACACAGGGTACTTAATTTGCTATACCTCTGACTTCATTTGCAATCTGAGAAGACTAACCAGCTTCGAACGTCTTGTGGAAATTCCACGTCCGCAGCCTTACTTTCGCTTTCCTCCGAAGAAGACATATGGGATGACTCACTTTCTCTAAGATTCCACCCGACTGCCTCACTTTGTTTCTCCGATTCAGAGGAAAAATAAATTTACTTGTGTCATTTTTATGTCCTGGAAAAAAGCTAAACGCTGGAAAAGCACCAGGACCAGATGGAATCCCAGCAGAAGCTTTGAAAATGGACCCATAGACAACAGCGGACTTGATGACTCCACTGCTTCAGAAGGTGTGGAAAGAGGGCAAAGTGCGCGAGGATCGGAAGAACGGATACTTATTCAAACTACCAAAGAAAGAAGACTTAAGTCAATGCTAAAACTGGCACGGAATTATGCTCCTGTCCATCCCAAGCAAAATAATAAGCTGCATCATCCTGGAGAGAATCAAACAAGCCCTAGATGGAAAACTTCGACCGGAACAAGCTGGATTCATGAGGAAACAAGTCATGTATTGATCAAATTGCCACACTACGGATCATCATTGATGAACAAGGCTTGGAATGGCAGTCACCTCTCTACTTCCCTCAACTGCATTGACTTTGAAAAGGCCTTCACTAGACAGCGTCGATCGAGAGGTGATTTGGACGCTACTTCGCTACTACGGGGTCTCATCGATAATCATACATCTCATCCAACAGTTATACGACAATGCTGCATGCCAAGTAATCCACAACGGAAAACTTACGGAAGCCTTCGAAGTGAACACGGGAGTGAGGCAAGGCTGTCTACTATCACCAATGATCTTCCTGATCGCAGTAGATTGGATAATGCGACAGACAGTGGTGGGCAATGAGGAAACAGGCATAAAATGGACTCCCACAAAAAGCTTGGAGGATCTGAACTTTGCCGATGATATATGTCTGATTTCCCACAAACTGGAAGATATGCAAGTGAAAGGCAACAAGTTGGCGGAAGAAGCATCAAAGATAGGACTTCAGGTGAACATGGATAAAACAGAGGTGATGAAGATTCCTGGCCAACACCAACAGCAACAACAACAGACAACAATCAGCATAAATGGGAGGAACCTGAAAGAAACAGCCTCCTTCACCTACCTAGGAAGCATCGTCTCAACTACAGGCGGAACTGACGAGGATATCAAAGCCAGGATCGGAAAAGCAAGACAGGCTTTCATTACTCTCAAATCTGTGTGGAGGTCAACAGCACTCAGCATCAAAAATAAGATACGGATTTTCCGGGGCTTCAGCTACACGGACGAACTTCCCCATTTCGCTGGTTAAGGGCTGGCGAGTAACCTCTTAAGCAGGTAATTTCGCGAGGTTTCTATTGCTGAGAATTTAAGACGTTCATCAATTAAACTGAGTTTTAGCTATTTTGCCTTCAGCAGTCAGTTTTTGAAGTGTGCAGAATACAAACAGTTGGATCTTCAAGCGAAAACTTAGTGGTTGTTGTGCTGTGGTGTGACTGTTTGTCTCTGTTCCATTTTATTACAATTTGCGGAAATGTACCCTTGGAGTGAGGTCACTACCTTATTCTCCTTTACTAGTTGGAGTACTAGTGTAACAACAGAAGACAAGGGCCAGGCAACAGATCGTTTTATTATGAAAATCAACACGTATTTATACATATTTCACATACATTATTATAGCTTATGCAAGTAGACAAACGCAGGCTTCTGATTGGTTGTTTCGGGATTCCTCGACAAATAGAGTTCTCTATCTGCGAATCATATTTTGCCACGTTAACTTTGCTGTGATTGGTTGTTGAATCAGCCTTGCTCATATTTTCTCACGGCCTGCTCTCACCACACTCGTCCCCCCGTCAAATACGTGCGACTGAAGTCGGCTTGATCTACTTGGTGCAGGCGTCATCGTTGGCTTGTCTCGCTGTATCCATTTCTGGAGCTCGCTGACGTTCACGCGCCTCTCATTGTTCGTCATTGCGATTGTGTCCGCGTAATCCCATCTCGAAGTGACCATATGTGGTCCTTCCCACTTTGGAAACTGTTTGCCTGACCCTGTCGAACATTCGTCAGTATTTCGTCTCACACTTTCATATGCCGCTTTCACCCGACCTCCCAGCAGCGTCCCAAGTAGCAGCTCCATCGCTGACAGATCTTGAACGCCACTCAACTGCGCAGAAGCCTTGAAGTCCTGCCCGAAGATCCATATGTCTCCATCAAAAACAGCAGGGCATAGGCTTTCCATTTGTCGGTAGGCAGCGACACCAAATGTAACAACAGAAGACAAGGGCCAGGCAACAGATCGTTTTATTATGAAAATCAACACGTATTTATACATATTTCACATACATTATTATAGCTTATGCAAGTAGACAAACGCAGGCTTCTGATTGGTTGTTTCGGGATTCCTCGACAAATAGAGTTCTCTATCTGCGAATCATATTTTGCCACGTTAACTTTGCTGTGATTGGTTGTTGAATCAGCCTTGCTCATATTTTCTCACTGCCTGCTCTCACCACACTAGTATATAAAGCACAATTATATTTCAATAGTTTACACACAATGATAAGTTTTGTTATTCATTCTAATCCACAGTGCTCAAACTTTTTAGTGATATTAATTCATCTGGGCACTAAGTTAGGTGTATCAGGCCAAAGTTCAACTTCAACAGTATAGATGATTACACAACTTTCGTGAGTGTTATTTCTAGTTGAGACAGATCAGAAACGAGCGCGAATTCGTTCAGGTTGCGCGACCAACTCATTTCGTAGAATATTAGGACTATATGTTGCTTATTTTTTGAACGGAATATCGGTCGAGTATCTGCTTCTTAATCAAAATATTTATTTGCAGTACAACATCAAATATTTCTCCATGTGCCCTTCCACAATTTTTGATGAACTTCTCATTTATTATGTGAATAAATTGCATTTCCGAATCTGTATATTGCGAAACTTCATTGAACGAACGGGGTGTTGTCGATGTAATTGAAGAATGAACGATCAATTCATGGCTGTTTGATGAAACCCAAATCTATATTTTGGCGGGAGTCATCGATACTGCAGTCATCGTTCCATTGTTCGCTGTTCGTTAGAAGACGGAGAAATACTATCAGAAGTATTATTGTGATTAATTGTTATGATATTTGTTCTTAGACTTTGTTTACAGTTGTGGTGAACGCAGGCTGCCAGCCAAATTGGTAGACATTAATTTATGTCAGTGTATATGTCCCTAATATTGGTCGTGAGAAAAGTAAGAACAAAGACTAATTCAGCAACCAATCACAGCACACTTTGTGTGGGCGGATACAGTTAATATATGGACGATCTGACATTCAAGAAACAGTCACAAAGAGATACAAGGTCAACTTTCTGTGAGAAACAACCAATCAGAGGACTGTGTTTGTTTCCTTGAATAAGCCATAATAATTTACATGAAAATATTTAAATACGTGTTGATTTCCTTAACAAACGATCTGTTACCTGGACCTTATCTTCTGTAGTTACACAAAAACCTTATGATTGGCTCCATAAAAAATATATATACTGGCGAAAGAATGAAGGATTCTTGAGTCACCAGACTGTGTTCCGGTTTATAGGGTTGGCTAGTGAACATAGTTGCCCAAAGATTTCTAACGACAGTGTCAATGAACATCACTCACTACACTGGACCTCACGTTGTCCTTGGAAGACTTTCAGGAACTATGCGTAATAACTAACACAAAAAACCACAACACAGATTGGTGACTCAAGAACCCTTTATTCTTGCACCAATATAGAGCCAACAACTAAGTCATTATAAAAAACCCTAAGAACAAATGTTATAATAATAAATCGCAATAATATTTGTGACAGTTTTCTCTCTTCCATTGAATAGCGGACGATGAAACGATGACCACCGTATTGATGACACCCGCATCGACTAACCACACTTCAAGAATTACAGGATTAAGAGCAGTAAGAATAAAACCGTACCCAGGTTTACGCTCAAGGGATACCGCTCAACTCATCATGATCAGCCAAAGACAAATCTGCATCATCATGATCATTATCACAAATATTCACTTTACCGTCGTCTATCTGGTCGAATTCATCATTTTCAAACATGGTCACTGA